TATGCCTAGAAGTTCACTGAAGACCATAAAGGACCTGGTTGACTTGAGTCCAGAAAAATGGCATAGTTTGGGCCTTAGAAAACTCAGACAGCACAGTGTTCTTCTCTGAACCATGTGATGGCCGGCTTTGATGCCCAGGTCTTAATGTCTTTCAGACATATTTCAGTGACACCTCAGTTTTTCTCAGCATCTTCCACAGGAAGAGGTGGTTTGATGTGGCTGCATGATGACTTTTTTTTAAAATCACCAAATTACAAACTAGCCCTTTGCCAGCCTAGGAACTCAGGAGAATCCTTGAGTCCCAGGGTCAGAGGAACTTTTCACCTGGGATGACAGGAGTCTGGGCTCAGTGCAGCTACTGGGCCATAAGCTGAGCATGTGAGGGGCAGGAGGAGATGAGTAATCTTTCTTTCTTGCAAGCATTTTTGTCTTTCTCCTTAAACATCTACTTTGACATGAAAAGCATATTTTAATGAATAAAACAGATGATGAAAAGAAATCAATTGAGAAAAATCATTGAGGGGAAAATGAATTACTGGTGTGCACTAATTCTGATGTCCTAGAGCAGGGGTAATATGCTATTGATATTTTCCAGGAAATAAAGTAGCTCATTTAGATAGAAAAAAGGGACAAAATTGTGCTAAATTAATTATGGTGTTTTTAATCCGCTATGAATTTGGAGTAAATTTTATTAGGAAGAATTGGAAGTACATGTTAACTTTTATTGTCAGGATAAATTGCATCTTTCAAAGAAGATCCTTGTACTTTGTGTAGGGCCTTTCACGTTGGTACAGAGCTTAGGTCTGAAACCTTGCCTGGTTGATGGTGGCTAAGATAGCCTCTTACTGTGTGGTGGCTCACATAGCAGTTTCCATCTCAGTCACACATTTTTGTCTGATGGTAACTTCTGAGTGCAGTTGTCAGACCAGCTTCTTCTGAAAGTGCAGGGAAAATGGAGACGGACCTGCAGAAGCCAGCATCCTCTTTGTGGACAGGTCCGCAGAACTTCCTGTCAGAAGTTAAACAGACACACTGACCTAGAGTTTAATAACATGTTCTTGGTGACACATTTCCTCAGCACCTATCTAGGCTGTCTGTTCTAGGGGACTGCGTGTAGCCTGAACAGCCACCAGTGGAAGCTCTCACTTGGATGTGTATGACTTGCACTTTAAATTTTGATTTGCCCTCCTCATACGGAGCAACTTTCTGATTCATAATGTTGATCATGTCCATGGCCTGTTTTGTTTTTACTCACTCTTCCTGATCCCCTACGGGCTTCTGATACAACTCTTCCAGTGGTGACTTTATGGAATCAAGACGACAGAGGGTTATCCCCAGCCCTCATGGAACAGGAAGACTACTGATTTTTACTACTTAAGAGCCAAAACCCTTTTAGGTACAGTTCAGTTTCAAATCACCTTCTGACAACAGTATACATTTCTGAATGTCCTAAAATGTTTGACAACACTGAAAAAACCCCCACAAAACATACCACATAATCTCTTCGTCCCTGGGTTGGCGGTGTGTTCTAAAGCACCGGGAAAATCACTCTCATTTTCACCTGCAGGTTCTGATTTTTCTTTCCCTCATTGTTTTAGGAAATTTGGAGCTCATGGGTCACGACTTACTGGCGCAGGATGGGGAGGCTGCACAGTGTCGATAGTACCTGCGGACAGGCTGCCCAGCTTCCTAGCAAATGTGCATGAAGCTTATTACCAGAGGAGCAATCGAAGCTTAGCGCCTGAGAAGCAGAGTTTGTTTGCTACCAAGCCTGGAGGCGGAGCTTTGGTTTTCCTTGAGGCCTAAACAGTGTGAAAAACCTCAGAGCAACTATTTAGAGCATTTAGGACCTGGCAGGACTTCTAGTGCCACAGTACATTAATCCTCTGTTTTGCACTATGATGAACGGTCGCTATTATCAAGATGTATTTCCAGAGAAAAGGCTGAAAGCTTTCTATGCTTCATAATTATTTTTCCATCTTAAAATATGTTTTCTACCAATAAGTGTCAAGATTATGCTTGGATGGATCACTTAAGGATGATTTGCTGAGATTTATTGATTTTAAGGTTTTTAGAGACAAACGGTAAAAGACCATTAATACTGGCCCTATGAGCTGTACCTGAATTAAACATACTACTACAGTTAAAGCGATGTGACTCAACTGTACAAACTGTTCCTAAGTCCTGTGTATTTCTGGCTCCTCTGGGCGTTCTTCTTCCTCAACGTGCAGTCTTCTGTTGTTGTCGATGACGATGACAGTGATGCCAGAAATTCTCTCTCAGTTCGAGCTTCAGAACGCTATTAAAATCACACATTATTAAGGATTCACAGAATTTCCCGGATGTGGTATGCTTGAGTGTGAGATTCTCCACAATTGTCAAGATAAGGAGGATCACCTAAAATTTTTTTTTAAAAATATACCTAGGAAGAAAATTCCAGGCTCAGCTCATTATTTTTTTAAACCACGTGCTATCACATTAAACAGTCATTTTCAAGTCTTTTGGCCCTGAGCTTTCTCTATCATAATAGAGAAACTTAGAAAAAAGACACTTCAAGTTTATCTTTCTTCACATTGAAATAGAGAATTATCTGGGTGATAATTCAGATCATTCAATTTGTTCATGGAATTTACTTTCTTCCCACACTACCCTATCTTTTCTCAAATGCCTCTCTGATCCAGGAGGCACGTTTACTATTCTGGGAAGGCCATCTACGCCTTGCACCCTTTGTTGTGTATCCAGCAAGGCTTGTTTGTATCTGTGGACCACTGTAGGGCAGGTGTGCGGGTGCAAGTAGGAAAAGGCTCAGTGTGGGTTCTGGGATTGGCCTGGGGGTGGGTGGGTGGGTGCCTGTGTATGTTTCTCAAAAAAGTGGACATGTGGAGATGGTAAACGAATGGCTCGCTCTATAGGGAGGCCTTCCTGAATTAGATGAAGATTTAGACCAAGAAGCATTTTGCTGATATAATCAGATGAGAGCGGCAGCAGTTGTTTTTGGCATGAATTATCCAGGAAAGCATCACAGTCCCTACTCTTCCATGATTGTTTTTGCTCATTACTGTGCAACTGACTCAAAGATCTGACATCATCGTCTTGACTCTGTTTCAGAGAAGCTGAAACAAAGCTGGTTTTAACAGTGTTTGTAACGTTTCTCCAAGGACAACAGTCACATAAGGTAGTAGGAAATCCATTATTCTCTTCTAAAATAAACTTCTCGTGCATTTTCATTCTTAGCAGAAAGGTAAACACTTGAGAAAGCTTAAGTCAAATTTGTTGAAAGAATTTTGAGTTTTAAAAGTTGGTTTAAAATTATAACCCTTTGTTTTTCAATACCTTTTCACCATGAGATACCTTCTTTACAAAACAGGTAAGTAAAAATGTCTAGTGTGCACTCCTCTTTGGAGGACACAGTTGTTCCAAGCCAGAATCTACTCCGTGCTTGTCTTGATGTCTGGCCTGAAGAAAAGAACTACTTTTCAATGACACCATCACCAAGTGTTATTACAGAAATTATGAGAGATAATTGTACTTGTCTGGAAAGGAGGAGGGTGGGGCCACTGGAGAAAATCTTTGCGCAGAAGATGGAATTTGAGGAGGGTCCTAAAGGATGTGTAGAATTTGAAGGCTGGGGATGAGCAGAGTTTATGATTATGGGTAACCGTGGTATGTTTGGAAGACTTAGTGGGAGTGAAGGGTTGACCTCAGGATACAGTGAAGAATAAAGACTAGCTATATTGGCTGGAGCTAGCTTTTGAAGAGCTCCAAGTCCAGCATTTAGACCAGGGGTTACAAACTGGCAGCCCATAGGCCCCATCTGGTCTACAGATTGATTTAGTTTGGCCACCAGGGTATTTAAAAACTTGAGTCCTAAACAGGAATTTTACAGAAGAATCTGGACTACTAATGGTGGAAGATCTGATAACACTTTGGCCTCCACTCCTGCAGGGCATCAATGAAACAGAGGTGAGGAAGGAGCTGCCTTGTTCAGATGAGGTACGGACTCTCCCTTGTGCTTTGGTTCCACCTTCTTGTAGTTCCCTTAATACCCGGCCATTTACTGTTTACCAGCTCAGATCACCTGCCCTTTGCCAGCACACTCGCATAGTTGTTTTCTTTTACTAAATAAGTATTTCTCTGTACCCATGTCTCTAGCAGGAGTAGTTAAGAGAGACCAGGAAAAAACAGGAGAAAGACTTTCTTTTTGGTGGAAGTAAAGAATAGTCCTTTTGTTTACTATTAAACACACAGGTTTCCATTACCTTTCTGGCTCATCTAGAAATTTGGGTGGATTATTTGACCCCTGTTTTGACATTACACCAGTAGCCAGAGAGGAGTGCTCTAGATTTTTGCGTGGAAGCCTGACATGCTGAAAATAAAAAAGCTCCTCCTGACCTCAGATTGTCCAGCCTTCAGATTTCCTGTACACTATTCTCTACATGTTCTTGTTTACTGGAAGGGAAGAAGGCAGTCTGAATTTAACAGGACTGCTCGTAAGTTAAAGGGGAGAAGAACGGGAGGGGACAAAGAAAACTGGAAAGATGAGGCAGTCTCCTTCCTTTTCTTTCTTTCTCACACTTGAGTCCCGTTTGGAACCATTTCTGTCTTATGTTTCTGTCAACCGAGGGCAAGAATCCTTCATCTAACATCTAAGTAGTTAGAATCCAATATGTTTTTGTTCAATTATTAATGAAAAACTAAATATGACTTCAAACACCAGTAATTTTCTATTAGTTTGAAATTCTGACTGCATTTGGAGGCTTTTCAGTTGCATAAAACGCTCCTGGTCGAGAGCCAGGGATGGAAGTCCGTGGGCATGAGGCTGCCACCATACGTGAGACAGAGATTATCCTAGTGTGCGTGTGGATGATCGAATAACAAGAACATGTTCTCTCCTGCCACTGGAACTTGGCTGTGAAATCATCTACTGCTTATTAAATATTTTCCAGTATCTATAAGAGAAGCTAGAGAGAGAATTCTCAATTTTCAGAAAAGAAACTTACCAGTTTAAATAGGAAATTCTCAAAGTCATTCTTAACTTCATTAGGTTTCTTGGTAGCCTTTGCTTGGAGTCTAATCATGAAATAAAGAAAATTGGTAACCAAACAATTTGTTTTTGTACTGACACCAGCTGAGAACCAATACTTACGAAGAGTTTCTTAGGCCGGGCATTGCCAGCAGTTTATATATATTTATTCAGTTTTAGGCAGTAGGTGCTACTATCACCCTATATTACAGATGAGGAAAGAGGCTCAGATATGTTAAGCGACCCATCCACAGTCATACAACTAGCAAGTGCTAGAGGACTTGAACCCGAGTGGCGTGACTTGAGCCATCAGTTGTAGCCACTGTGTGACACCGCCTCCCAGCAGTGAAGCTTCCTCTTCAGTGAGATGCCTCCCACAGTACTCCCTTACCTAAGTTAACTAAGTCCACCCACCAGGCTCCAGTGCAGACCTTAGGACGGGCCAGCGGGGAGAGGAGAGTCAGTGGGACTGGCAGGGGGAAGATCTGGGGGAGGAGAGATGGAAAAGGCTAACGGGTGAGGGCGCGACTAGACTGTAAGCTCAGTGACGGCGGGGATCTAGGCATTGGTCGTGATTTCTGGCGCCAAGTACTCATTCCAGAAATACTGGTGAAGGAGTAGAAAGTTGAATCGAGGAGGCAGCAGGAACCTTTCCAGAGATTGACGGATAAAGAGACAAGCAGAGGTAGGCTAGCCAAGGAAGGACAGGACCTTGGGACAAGGGAGAGACATCAGCAAGAGAGACACAGATGAGAAAGAAAAGCGAGGAAGGGTATAAGGCTATTAATTTCATTGGCAATTTTTAAGTGAAACTTTTAAAAGTTACTCCATGAAATTTGTAGGAAGTGAAATTTTCTGATAATTCCAAATACCCTCGGCTGAAGCACAAAGTTTGGATTAGCCAATGCCCTAGAAGGCCCACGCCACGTTTCTTTAGCACTGAGTCCAGAGCACCCTGAGGGCGCAGCCGGGCTGCCTCTGAGGGGTCTCCTGCGTTCGTGTTCTCTGATGACAAATGCCCCCTCACTCACTCTGCTTCATCTCTGCCGATGTTACCTCCTCCACCTGGGTTTCCTCCTCACTTGGTAATACCCTCTGGGTCTGTCTGTCCCTGCTTTCCTCAAATCTGGCTCTTATAATCTGGGTCTCTTGCTCATAGTCCTATTGAAATCCACTCCAAAATATCCTTGGTGCCCTTTTTCAGTTACATCCTTTTAGAATCTTATTGACTTCAAGTCATCCTGAGACTGGTTCATCTCACTTCATTAAAATCAACCTACCTTCCAGGTCACTCTTTCAATTTACAGTTCCCTCTTTCTTTTAAAAAAAATAACTTTCTTGGTGTTTCACATACCCCCAAATCTACCCTTTTATAGTGCACAATTCAGTGGTTTTTAGTATATTCACAAAGGTTTGCAACCATCGCCACTATCTATTCCCTCATCTTTCTGACTGTCTTTCCTTTCCACGAGTCTCTCTTTTTCAAAGATTGTAGATAGAAACTTAGGACCTGGGCCTATAAATTTAACAGGCAGATGGGAGTCATATACCCTAATGAGCGCCATTGCAGGAAGCATATCTGAACGCTGCTTGTGAGTTGCTCTGAAAACTGGTCTGCATCCGTTTGCATATCCTGAGTGGTGAGGAATCCTGTCCTCTGCAGATTTGATTTTTGGGGAACTTGCAAAGGTCACCTGGAGACAGATCTTATAATTTAGGTGTTGTGAAGGCAAAAGCTGGGTGGTAAGATTTTTGGTGAAAAGTGAACTAAGATTCTAAAGGACTGCGTTGAATCTTCTCATGTGACTGGGAGACTAGCAGTGAGAAACCTGGCAGCAGGGCTGGCACAGAGCTGGGGTCCCCCACGGGGGCGTATGTGAAGGGCTGCACTCGTCTGACATTTACTCTTACCTACGTGGATGTACTGGAAGAAGTGGGCTGGTCTCAACACTTAATAGTTTTCTTTTTTATACTGTATAAATTAAATGCACCCACTTTTCCTTGTTTCGGTGGGGCACAATGTATGCAGCAGGGGCAGAAGGGAGACAAAGAACTAGCCCAACAGAGACCAGCCAAATAGCTTGTTTTTCTAGTTTACACCTTCCCTATGGCAAGGCATGGTTATGGGTCTATTTTTTTAAAGGTCCTCAGCTTAAGTCCTATGTCTGGTAGAGTAAAAGGAGATGATGGCAATGTTTAGCAATTAATTAAATTAGTAAGGTAAGCGCTTATGTGGATAAAGCAGAAAGTCAGTGTGACTCTAGAGGAACTACCAAGTAGGAGAGCTCTGCAGATATCCAGGCTAACGTGTCTTCACATAATAAGCCCACTGAGGTCTCATGTAACACATTTGTTCAATGACAATGTTTTTAAGCACTACAAATTGCATAAGATACAAACTTAACAACAAGGTCCTACTGTTTAGCATAGGGAATTATAGTCAATAGCTTGTAATAACCTATAATGAAAAAGAATATGAAAAAATATATATGTAGAGCTGAATCACCATGCTGTACACCAGAAACTAACACAACCTTCCAAATCAGCTACGCTTCAATAAAAAGAAAAAAAAGAGACAAACCTATGAATCTCCTTGTTAATTCTTTCCTGTCGCTGTCTTAGGAGTTTTATTTCTTCATTAATTATGTGCTTTTCTCTATAAAACCAAAGTATGAAGTTACATTTTAAAATAAAGCAGGCAGTTCTGAGAAAGAATAAATCAACAATTTGCTGACTTCCACGTATCAGTAAAAGTCCCTTAAAAAACAGTTCTTCGGTGTCCCCTCCCAGTGCACTACTTGGTATGAGGAATCCCCCAGCACATCCCCTCTTATAAACACATGCCAAAGGCATCACCCATGTCACCAGAGTATGGCCTGGACTCCACCCTGCTGCTTCCACACAGGCCCTTTTACAAGGTACCCATCCCAGTTCTTCCCACTGAGAACAGGAAATCTAAAGGCTATGTGTGTGTGTGCACACACTTGCGTGCACCTGTGCACGTACATGTGCATGCCTGTATGGCAGCGGGTGGGGGGTGGGGGGTGGGACCCGGGGAAAGGAGAGGCTCAGATTTTTGTCCTGCCTGCTGGACAGGACTGAGCTGTTTACCTCTTCTGTTTACCTCTCTTTAATGTGTTTCCTGAACAGCATGAGGTACCCAAAAGGAAGGATGTCCATCCTTTCTCCCCATCAATGACCTTGATATCGTCGAAGAATTGAATCCTGACAATTTGTTCTCATAAAAATTGATGGACATTATCATTAAGCCATTTTTAATTTCCTGGCATATAAGAATACCATAACTGGCCAAGAGTAATCATTTTAATTAAGCACAAAAAAATTCAAAATGTTTCCCCAAGAAAACATTACAAAAGACCTCCCTGCCTTGCTTTCCTCAGTACCACTCCTGCTGCCATCCCAGCTGCAAGGGACTCCTTCTACTGCAGACATCCTTTCTGTTCCTCTTCTAGGGCTCATCTTTGTAAACGATCTCTATTCCCTGGAGCTCTCTTCTGGTCTCTCTACATGGGGTGCTTCCCCCTACCCAGACTGCAGCAAATCTTCCTCCCTTCCTTCAATCCCTGCCACTTGCCATGGTTCTGCCACGGATCTGGAAAGATCTCTGAGTCTATAAGACTCCTCATCAGTACAATAAGGAGCTGAGTTGTAGATAATTTCTGTGGTCACTTCCAGCTGTACAAGAGTTTACGATTTTATATTTAACAATAGTATGGAGTCAACTTACATTCTAAAATCCTTTTGGTTCCTTGCGAATTGTCTTTTTGCCTCCCTTACAACATCACGGTAAGTTGGAGCAGGTGGTGTGACAGGCATATGGTTAAGGACAGATTTCCAGTTAGGAACACGTGAGAGAGGTAAACAGCACCCTTCACGGGGCGCTCAGGGAGCCGTCTTGCCTGGGCTTCCCGGTCGTGAAGGGTCTCAAGTGTAAGCATGAATATTAGGTCTGGGATTGCACTGAAAGGACCAAAAGAGGACAATCCCCATCGGAGCACTTTAAACTTGTATCCTATTATCGGGACCACACCATCCATAGTGCACCAGGACTTAACAGTTTTCATAAATTCCATAATTACTATTTTTACGTTTTTTTTCTGGTGTGCTCTAAAGGCAATAATTTGTTAAATGTAAATATTAAAAATGTACCAACATTTTTGTAACTGTTTAGACATTTCATTTCCACATTGACTGAGAACTTCAAAGTCTCCTGATTTCTGAGAGACCCTGGAGGTGACCAGTAGCCTGGCCCCTGCCACCTGCACGGAAGAAAGATGATAATTCTGCTGATGAGGCTGGGGCTCCTGCACTGTCTGTTTCTGGTACAGCCTGTGGTGTGCCCCTAGCCCTGGTCTTTACCCATGCCTGTGTCTGGCAAAGCAGACACTTCCCTTCTGAGTGGCAACTGGCAAATGACTCAAGGAGGCAGCCTTCATCCTGTGTTAAGACTTTTGCTTCACTGCTAAACTAGAAGCTCTTACACCTCTGTAGTCACCAAGATACAGGGCATGACACTGTCCTCCTACAGCCCCATGCTCCAACCTGAACCACACTGCAACATTGCCTCCATCTTTCTCTGAATGCAATTTGCTCATTTAAAACACACTGATGTTCTCTTCAAGGCTGTCCCTGATGCTCACTTTAATCTTATTTATCTGGTATAAGAATGTGAGGGAAAGCACAGTCGATTCGGTCCCTGGGATAGGACCACAGGGGCACTTAACCTTACAACCGTAACTTCCTGAGTATTGTAGCTCAGCTGAGATAACCAAAAGGAAGAACATGAATGGCTCCACAGCAAAGATTCTCACAATAAATTTGATAAAATTTATGTCTTTCCTAGGAAGCTCTGAACTACTCAGGCAGTCTCTTCAATCACTTATAACTTGAATATCAAGGGCTTAGAATCAAGGAAAAGAACACTGGGTTTTCTGGGCACTCCAGACTACTTCCCCAGCAATGCCGGAGCGACATGCTCCATCAGCCACGGAACCTGGTTCAGTAGGCGCCTAACGGTGTCACCAAGTTGCTGGGAAGCAGACCATACTCCGCCCTACCGAGCACAAAGCTCGTGAGTTCTGGGTGATTATGTTACCCTGAATGGGACAGAAATTCCCTGAAGTAGATTTTAGAGAGAAGTCTGCTGCTATTTTGGTGCATTCCAAGTTCACTTCCCCCCTTATTCATACCTAGGCTTTAGAGCGTGGTTTTCCTTCAAGAAAGAGTTACGTCTAGAGGCAGATCAAGAGATGGCAGAGTAAGAGGATGTGGAGCTCACCACCTCCCACAAACACATCAAAAATACATCTACCTGTGGAACAATTCTCACAGAAAACCAACTGGAAACTGGCAGAAGATCTCCTGTACAGCTGTAAGAAAGATCTCCACGTAACCAGGTAGGACAGAAAAAAAGGCATCAATACAGGACTGGCACTCCTGGGAGGGGTCTGTAAAGAAAAGGTCCACACAGTCCTCCTAGAAATCCCTTGTCTGCTGGGAAATCCACTGGGACAGCTAGCAGCGCTGCAGAAGCCCAGACTCTACTTACGAGTGTGCATGCTGGCTTGCTAACAATCAGGGCAAAGGGGGACTGACAGTTGGCTTGCCACACTTCCCAGCATTTGTAAGCTTCTGAAGCATGCATACAAATATGTGCAGTGGCTAAGCACTGAATCTATGGCAGACAGACCCTGGGAGAGGACTCAATCTACCTTCACGCAATAGCAATAGCACGGGGGGCCTGGGGAGTGGGTCTGGAGCTGACCACAGTGACAAAGGGCTCCGCTTACACAGTAGGGGGTGGGTCCAACCCTGGTGGACTTAGTCAGCACATGCAATGGGTAATGTCACAGAAACACAGTGGCTGGGTGCTGAGTCTTGGGGGGAGAGCCCCTGGGGAGGAGTACACAGTGGTTCATTTCCCAGAGGGAGTACACCAGCTCTCCTGACCCCACATGGCAGCTGAGAGCCAAAGCTGGCACAAACAGGTCCCCGAAGAGGTCTCCCACAGAGGCAGCCCAGGCCCCAGGTGACAGCACAGCCACCACAATTCCTGCAGCCACAGGACCCCAGCCCCTGGCACCAGCCCACTCCACACTGTAGTCTAGCACTAGGTCTGGACGAACACAAGGGAGAAATGGATGTGATCTTGGGCTGATTCTGAGCAGAACTGCAGACACCTGCACAGGTGGCGCACAGGTTTGCTGTGACCACATGGGCCTCACTTGTTTCAGCGGTCACCTCCTTTGGGGCAGGGCAGGCAATGAAGGCAATAGAACCTTATAGAACCTGACCTCAGGGCTTCTACTCCAATAACTGGGGAGCATATGCCACCACAGGTACCAGACACCACAGCACTGACACTCCCTATCAGGGGATGACAGCCAGCACACTGAGGAAAGACGTGGCTAGTAGCATCCATACCAGAAACACCCCTTGCACCAAAAACATTAGACTCACACAATCTACACAGGAACACTCCCGCATAAAAACACACCTTCAAGACCACAGTACATGACTGTTTTCTCTAAATTCATAGAGACAGAGAAACTTAAGTAAAATGCAAAAGCAGAGGAACTACTTCCAATTAAAAGACAAGAGAAATCCCCTCAAAGAACAGATAATGAAACAGACCTCACCAGTCTACTAGACTCTGAGTTCAAAAAGAAAGTAGTAAAAACGCTAAAGAAATTAAAATATCAATAGAAATGCAGATCACTGTAATAAGGAACTAGGAATTATAAAGATGAGCCAATCAAAATTAGACAACTCAATTGCCAAGATAAAAACCAATCTAGAAGCAATAAATAGCAGACTAAATAACACAGAAGAACAAATAAGTTATTTGGAAGATAGAATGATGGAAATCATGAAATCAGAACAGCAGACAGGGAAATAAAAAAATGAAAGCAATGTATAAGATCTGTGGGATAATATAAAGCATGCCAACCTATGCATTCTAAAGGTTTCAGAAAGAGAGTGAAAAGGGGGTCAAAAATGTATCTGAAGAAATTTTGGCTGAAAATCTCCTAAACCTAAAGAAGGAAATTGATAACCAAGTGCAGGAAGCACAGAGGTCCCTAAACAAGATGAACCCAACCAGACCTGCACCAAGACATATAATTAATATGGCAAAAGTTAAAGATTAAGAGTGGAGGAGGGCATAGCTTGGTGGTAGAGTGCATGCTTAGCATGCATGAAGTCATGGGTTTGATCCCCAGTACTGCCATTAAATTAAAAAAAAAACAACAACAACAGATAAATGAAGATAAAGAGAGGATTCTAAAGGCTGCAAGAGAAAAACAGAATCCATTATAAAGGAACCCCCCCATAAAGCTATCAGCTGGTTTATCTGCAGAAACTTTGCAGGCCAGAAGGAAGTGGTATGATATATTCAAAGTCTTGAAAGGGGAAAAACTCATAACTTAGGATACTATAACCAGCCATATTATTGTTTAAAATAGAAGGTGAGATAAAGAATTTCTTATATAAGCAAAAACTAAAAGAATTCAGCAATACTAAACCTACCCTAAAAAAATATTGAAGGGTCTTATCTAAATAGGAAAGAAATAAGAATCTATAGGAAGGGAAAATCACAATAGGAAAGGCAAATATATAAAAGGGCTGAAAATCACTTAAATAAGCCAGTATATAGACTAAAAATCAATCAAAAAATTTTTGTAAAAGCAAAAATTATAACTACAATTAACAGCAAAAGGATAAATAAGAAGATGTAAAATATGGTATCAAAATCACAAAGTGTGGGGGAGGAAACTATAAATATAGATTTTTTTAAGAAAGTGTTTGAGCTTGTATGACTAACAGTTTAAAGCAAGTAGATACAGATAGGGGTCAATATACTTGACTTTTTGTTTTTTTCTTGCTGGGGGGGATTAGAGTTACATATTTATTCATTTTTAATGGCGGTACCAGAGATTGAACCAGGACTTTGTGCATGCTAGGCATGTGCTCTACCACTGAGCTAGACCCACCACCCTGGGTCAACATACTTGAAAACAAGGTAACCACAAATCAAAAGCATACACTAGATTCACAAAAACCAAAAAGAAAGAAACTCAAATATAATACAAAAGAACCATCAAAGTGCAAAATAAAAAACAAAAAGAAGAAATGAATACAGAAGAACCACAAAATCAACAGGAAAACAGGTTTAAAATGGCAATAAGTACATACCTATCAGTAATTCCTTTAAATGTCAATGGACTAAATGCTCCAATCAAAAGGCAGAGTGGCAGATTGGATTAAAAAACAAGAATCTACAACATACCGTCTACAGGAGACTCACTTCAGGGTGAAAGACACACAGAGATCGAAAGTGAGAGGATGGAAAAAGACACTCCATGCAAATGAAAACAAACAAGAAGAAAGCAGGGCTAGCAATACTTATATCAGATAAAACAGACTTTAAAACAAAGTCCATAAGGAAAGATAAAAAGGATATTATATAATGAAAAAGGGATCAATACAAGAAGAGGATATTACACTCATTTAAATATATGCACCCAATATAGGAGTACCTAAGTTTATAAAACAAATAATAAGAGACATAAAGGGAGAAACTGACAAGAATACAATAACAGTGGGAGACTTTTAACATCCTGCTAACATCAATGGACAGGTTGTCTAGACAGAAAATCAATAAGGCAACAGAGGTCCTAAATGACACAATAGACCAGGTGAAATTAACTGATATCTATAGGACACTACACTCCAAAAAGCAGACCACACATTCAAGTGGGCCTGCCTGGAACATTCTCTAGTATAGATCACATACTAGGTCACAAAACAAGTCTCAACGAATTTAAGAGGCTGGAAATTATTTCAGTCATCTTTTCTGACCACAATGGCATAAAACCAGAAATCAACCATGGAAAGAAAAACAGACAAATAATGAACACATGGAGACTAAACAACATGCTACCAAAAACACCAGTGGGTCACTGATGAAGTCAAGAGGAAATTTAAAAATACCTTGGGACAAACGACCATGAAAACAGAACCACACAAAATCTATGGGATGCAGCAAAAGCAGTTCTAAAAGGAATATTCATAGTGACACAGGCCTTCCTCAAGAAACAAGAAAAAAATCTCAAAGTCTGACAGAGAAAGATAAATATTACATAATGTCATTTATAATGTGGAACCTAAAGCATAACACAAATGAATGTGTGTACTAAGCAGAAACTCACAGGCATAGAAAACAAACTTAAGGTTACCAAAGGGTAAAGGGAATGGGGGAAGCATAAATAGGAGTATGAGAGACTAACAGATACACACCACTATACATAAAATAGATAAGCAACAAGGATTTACTGTATAGCACCGGGAACTATATTCAATACCTTGTAATAACCTATAATGGAAAATAATCTGAAAAATATATCTACAACTGAGTCATTCTGCTGTACACCTGAAACTAACACAATACTGTAAATCAACTATACTTCAATAAAAGAAAGAAAGCGGTAAGCCTGACCTGACTGTTTAATGTCACAATGGTATATAGTTCTTGAACTTAAAACTTAATGAAAACGCATATTTGGACTATGTAGATGAAAAAACTTGTATTTTACTTGACTATATTGTGACTGTTTGACACTCTTGCAAACATTCTAACATTAGAATATTGGAAGTATAAACAAGGTAAACATTAAGCAGAAGACAAGTTTAGGACACATGCTAATAAGTTACTTCAAGAGTTCAGTTTTTAGAATTAAGAAACGAATCTGGCGCATAGAGGAGGAGATTCTGGTCACTGCTTTCTGCCTGCGTTCCTTTTACTTGTTAAACAATAGCATTATGTATAGAATGAGCACTTAAACCTGGGAATTTCAGCATCAACTCTGAGAGTACTTCCAGGACTTTCTCTAAGGAATATGGGGAAGACAGCACAGCCTCCTGCAGCCTCATTCTAGGACATTATTTTTGGCAGATAGCAAAATGTTCCCTTGAACCATTCTTTTTTTTGAGTCTCACACACACCCAAGCTCTCGAAGACAAGTATTTCAATTTCTAAGGCCCCTTATTTCTCTAACACTCAGTGATTCTAAGGGAGATCAAAGACCCCAGGCTCTGAGTGGAGGCCCTAGGGTGTCTCCATGCCTTGGTTTGTCATTTTGTGTCTCTGTGTCACATTTTAGTAATTCTTACAATATTTCAATTTTTTTCATTATTAGTATATTTGTTATGGTGATCCACGATTGGTGATCTTACTATTAAAATTGTTCTGGGGCACCATGAACCACACCCATATAAGAAGGCAAACTTAATAAACGCTGTGTCTTCTGACTGCCCCACCAACCAGCCGCCCCCCACCCCCACCTCTCTTTCCTAAGACCTCCTATTTCCTACAATATTAAAATTAGGCCAATTAATATCCCTATAATGGCCTCTAAGTCTTGAAGTAAAAGAGTCAAGCATCTTTCACTTAAGATCAAAAACTAGAAATGATTCATTTTAGTGTGGAAGGCTTGTTGAAAGCCATGATAGGCCAAAAGCTAGGTCTCTTGTGCCAAATAGCCAAGTTGTGAAAGCAAAGGAAAAGTTCTTGAAGGAAATGAAAAGTCCTATTCCAATGAACAAATGAGTGAAAAAGAAGCAAGACAGCCTTGTTGCTGATATGAAGAAAGTCTGAGTGGTCTGGATAGAAGATCAAACCAGCCACAGCATTCCCTTCAGCCACAGCCTCATCCAGAGCAAGGCCCTAAGCCTCTTCATTTCTATGAAGGCCGAGAGAGGTGAGGAAGCTGCAGAAGAAAAGTCTGAAGTGATTTCACATTTAATAGACTACAGTATGGTGTTAACATAACTTTCATATGTGCCGAGAAACCAAAAAATATGTGTGACTCCTTTATTGCTATATTCATTTTATTGCAGCAGTCTGGAACCGAACACAGTATTGCTGAGGTATGCCTGTAAATATTAGCAGGACGTAGCTAACTGAACATGCCCATTATTAAAATACCTTCTTATCCCCTATAATACGACCTTCAAATCGACAGACTTCCCAATGTCTATAAAATGATTCCATCATTATCCTAGCCATATTTGATCCCCCCTCCCTATCTCTCATTCGGCCCCACATCTAGTTAGTAAAGAAACTTCTATATTCCTTTGCAAAATCTCAAATTCCACCTCTGCCCTCTGCCTTCTGCCATTATCCCAGTGATGGGTTTGGACTTAAAACAGGCTCATATTCTACTTCACAGAAAGTGAGAACAGGATAAGAGCTACAAGACCATCTAGCTCAACCCTCATACTTTACAAACAAGGAAAAGGAGGGCCAACTCCATTAACTACCTTGGCCGCCATGGCCTCAGATGGTAAGCTCTGACCACAGTGCCAGCGCCGGAGCCGAATCTCCGGCATGGCCCTCTGTCTATAATCTGTGGGAACTGTGGCCTGTTAATGCCGGCC